GCCCCCCGTGCTGCTGCCCCCCGTGCTGCTGCCCCCCGTGCTGCTGCATTGCTTTGTCCTGTGCTCACAGCTTGTCTCTCCTGAGTTAATCAGCGTTGTCAGATCAGTGGTAAGCGGAGGAGCTGGGATTTTGTTAGAGGAGTGCATGTTCAGGAAGAAAAGTTGTACGTGCATCACATTTTCTTAGAGTTGGACAAAATGGGATTTAATATTTTAGGCATTATGAAGTATTTAGAACACACAGTGTTGGTAAAAATCAAGCCAACTTCTAATTAGCAGATGCTGTGAAAAATGATTTTGGATAGGAAACAGTAAACTGATATGAAATTGGATCCCAGTCCACTTGTGCATAGTCCAGCTTGCATGGCTCAGCTGCACTGCTTTGTCCTGTCTGCATGGCCTGTGCTGTGGTAAGCAGTGGCATCGCAGTAGGGATGCTGTGTTGTTTTGGTGTGACTGTGGGCTTCTGGGCCGATGTGCTGTGTAGTGCTGGCACTGAACACACGAGATGATGGTGTGCAGGGTTCTTCCTCCCTTCTGCCTGCCTTTCTGGTTGGTGTTGGGCTGACATTCCCAGCGGTTTCCCTGCACCATGAACGTAGCTTACTCTTGTTATGTATGCTTATATGCATATAGTGTGTCTGTGTTCTGCCTTACTGGGAGCTGAGGTGCCTGGTCCATGTCTCCCACTGGGTGACTGATGACAGGAGGGGTGAGGTGAGGTACCTTCAGTTCTGTCTGTGCTGGAGATAGCAAATGAGCAACTGTAACGAGTTGGCCAGTGCACAAGAGTGCAGTTACTAACTTGGGATGGCATCAGGGTTGCGTGGCTCTGCAGCAGCCATAATTGCTTCTTGTTAATGGAAAGACTATTTTTGTTTAATTGCTGGGAATGCATTCCTCTGGAATGGAGGATCTAACCTTGTTTTTGCTCTAAACCTTGTCCTGTGGTGTAGGCCAGAATCTTGGTCTCCTGTTGATCGTGGCAGAACTTGAACTTTGAAATGAAAGTAGAAACTCTTCCATGCTGTGCTTCAGTTCCTGAAGTTCTAGATGCCAGCAGTAAATCCCTTCTGTCTTTCCTTGTAGTCATGTTTCCCACAAAACAAAGTGTGAGAAAGGCCTGAGTGTTGTGAACTGGGGGGTGTTGGATGCACTGGGAGCTAACGGCTGATGGGTTTATAAATAGCTTAATAAACATTAGAGGAATCTTGTGAGTGAGCACTTGATATATTTTTAAGAGGTTTGAGCTTGCAGCCTGGGTTCTGTAGCGGCAGGTCAGAATTTCATGGGTGCGCCGTGCGTTCAAGTGCTCATAGCTGAGAAGAAAAACAGTGCACAACAGGCTTCGGGATGTGACTGGGAGAACTTCCATGCCAGGGCATGGACAAAGCAGTGAGGTGCACCTTGATGTGCCGTGCTGACCCCTTCTGGGTGGGCTGGTAGTGGCCATAAGTCTCTGCAGGACTAAGAGGATCAGACAGAGAAGGTAAGGGGGGGGTAAAACAGCACAAACTTCTTTGCAGGATCCCTCCTCAGAGAGGTCTAAATGGGGAGGTAGAGCTGCTTGCCCTGCTACTTATGTGCATGTGCAGTGCTCCCCCTGTCACCAAGATCTCCCTGCTCAGAAAAACAAATCAGCCTGAATGTTAGCTCTGCAGGATACCTGGAAGCAGAGCTTGATGGATGTTTAATACCCCACATTTCCAATGTGCTGGAATAAATTGAGCACGTTGGTAACCCTTGGGGGTGGTATCTAAAGGAACTGGAAGCACTGAGCTCTTGCAATCACAGACCAAATCTGAGTTTTGGATATGCATATGGTGAACACAGCCTGAGTGCCTGCTTCTGTGAGCAACTGGCTGCTCACCAAAGGGGATCCCTCAGCACGCGGCTGAGGGCGATGTGCTGCTGATCAGTGCAGGCTGAGCCATCAATACTGAGCTGTAGTGCTGGCTTGGTGTGCCTTATCTCAGAGGACTGCAGCAGACGCAAGGCAGTGAGCTGTTTGATGCTCTGTGTTCTCACAGCAATGCTGGCTGAGGGCGATAGTGTCCTCAAAGACAACAGATGTTTCTGGGAAGCAGTTGGTGCGGATGCCCATGAGGGAAAGGGGTGAAATGAACTCAGTTTTCCTTTTCTGGGATGAGGAAGCATCAGATGTCCTTGTGTCCCAAGAGAGGACCTGGGCAGTGACCTGCGGCAACAGCATTTTCCCTCTGATTTCCCTCGTATCCAGATGAGCCAGCTGCAGCTGCAGGCAGGCTTTTTTCATAAACCTGTGTGGAAAAAAAGTCTAACTTGAAGCCTATTTTTTGCATTACTGTTGCTCTGAGGGGATTATTACCCCCCTTCTCTCCAACACATTGGGAAGGACAGGCACAGCCTCTGCACACAAGCCTGCCCTGCAGCCACCCAGCCTGGCTTTCCTTCCTCTGCTGTACAGAGCCCTGCTGTGGGAGAAATAAGGGGCAAATTGGGCAGACAACAGCTGCCCGGCTTCAGTCATGGCCTCCAAGCTACAGAACCACGAACATAAAATAGTTTTGAAGATGAAAGTATTCCCTAATCCATACTTTTAAAAAATATCCTGAAGATGTGTGGCTTTGGGTCCACTGTATGATCTGTCCAAAGAATGATTTTATGGATCTGCTTTGTCTGCGGGGTATTTTCAGGGGTATTTGGTGCTTTGCCAGCTGTTGGGCATGTCTTTCAAGCTGTGGGGGCTCACTTGGGTTCTCTTTACCACTGGTTGTGTCCCAGGAGCTGAGCGTGCAGGGTTCAGATGGCTTCAAAGAAGGAAGAATTGCAACATGGTGCTTTATAGATGAGCCAAATAGTTGCTGCATTCCAGCTCCTTTGAGCCCTCATCCTTCCTGGTATGTTAAAGAATGTGGGTTTAGCAGTGCAGTGTGGGGTGCTCTTTTATCCTGGGGAAAAAAGCTCATGGTGACACTGCTATGGTTGGGCTCTGTCACTTCTCTGTGTAGCTGCATGCAGGAGATGGTATGTGCAGGAGGTGCAGTGCCGGTCCTGCTGTGTTGTGGCAGTTCCTGGCAGGGACTTGAAGCCTTGGGAAGAGCAATGGGACGCTTGGAAGTGGGTTTGTCCCAAGTTGGTGGTTTTGCTGGCTGCTTGTCACAAGCTTCATTTTCCCACGAGGTGGTGCTGTGGGATAGGGGACTGCATCGAGTGATCACCGCAGGGATTTATGGCACCGAGCGCAGCAGAACTTGTGGCTTTGGTAGCAGAGGAGCAGCGTTGGCTTCAGCGCAGATTCTTCTTCGTAGGAAAATCGAGGCAGAAGGAAAGTACCCGTCAGATCCCGTTAAATAGCACATAAATGATTTGTGCTGAGCCCACGTATGCTCTAGTTATGTTGCTGTGCTCATTAACATTTTGTTAATGAGCAAGGAGTGTGCTCTATATGTAGGAAAAACTCAAGAATATATTCTTAGTATGTATGATAAGAGTTCAACCACTTTTAAATTCGTTTGTGTGAAGGGAATAATACCTGCATGTAACTGCTATCAGTTTGAGGGCTGTGCTGCCTCTGCCCTGCTCCTCTGGCTGCAGTTTCATCCTGGTAGCAAAGCAAGTTATTACCACCTGAGACCTCTCCTGGTAGGGATATGATGTTCGTGTTGGGGGTTTTTTTACTTACTCTGTTGTGCACTTGATCATTTTTTTCCTCCACACTTCAACCTGTCTTTGGCTTTTGCTCTTTTTGCATTGGTCTACAGTGGAGTGTGTGAATTCAATGCGTGCAGTGCACTCTGCACTGTTTTTGTGTTCCGTGTCACCCCTGGAACTGATTCTGCACAGCTTCAGGTCTGCATTTCATTCTGTGCAACATTGCATCCCATGTCTCTGTTTCTTTGCAGTCCTGAGTCCTTGCACACCCAATGCAAAGCTTATGGCCTATTACAAGTGATAGCAATTCTGCACTGCAGTGCAT